CCGCCCGTCCGCCGGCCCCGCGCTTTCTGCAAGTCATCCGCGCCGGTGCCCGCCGGAGCGCCTGCCCGCGCTCGCCCCTGCCCCTCTCCTCGGGAGCCCGGCTGGATTGATCTGGGGTTCTGTGCCTTTTTTTTTTTTCCCTCCCCCATCTTGCTGTGTGTGTTGGTTTCTCTCATCACCTGCTATGGTTAACTTTCCTGTGACTCGGTTTAACTCTTCAGAGCTACATGGATGTTGCTAGAGCGCTTTCCTTGCCTTCGCTGTCCCTTGCTGGGGTTGGATTTGATACTAACTGGACTGTGTGAGCCCCTGTTTGTGTTCTGAGTGTATTGAAATGTTGCTTTCCTTTCCAAGAGCTATGCGTTGCTTGTAACCCAGGTAAGACCCGATGCTCCCGTTCCGTCATCTGCATGTCTAAATTAGATGTTTGTTTAGAGATGAAGTAGGTATTTTCTTTAAAACTGGAGGTTTGTAGGTAGTCCCCGCATGGATTAGTACTTGTGAGAAAGAAAAAGAGAACTTGCCAAACCAGATCTATTTAGCAGGAGATCTAACTTAGGTTTCTAAACTAATCTGCTTTTTTCTGTTACAACTTTTACGATGCCTTGAAAATTAATGTATGTCTTATTTTGTTTTCCCTTTTAACAGATCTGTGAATGATCATAGGCTTGGCGTGACCTTGATTTTGATGGCTTTATTGGAAGATCTAATGATATGATTGCATTTCATGAACTGATTGCTCTCCAGCCTCTATGGCTTAGGGTGTAAGCCACTTCTGCCACTCAGTCACTCATGGACAATTCAGATTTTTTTTTAAATGAACCTTTTGGCTTTTTTTCTTTCCTCACTTCTCCTTTTCCCCCCATTTCTCCTTAATGTCAGGAGCCTTATTCTGTGCTCTGATGTGATTGATCATCCTCCTGCTCGCTGCTGCTAATTTCTTTTTTAAAGTGCAATGGCTCTAAGTGGCAACTGCAGGACTTACCTCCCTCCGAGAGAGCAGGGGACTGGTCTGCTCTCCTTCCCGGAGGTAGTGGAGCTGAATGTGGGTGGCCAGGTTTACTTCACTCGCCATTCCACCTTGGTTGGCACCCCTCACTCCCTGCTCTGGAAAATGTTCACCCCAAAGAGAGACACAGCCAACGATCTAGCCAAGGACTCCAAAGGAAGATTCTTCATCGACAGAGATGGTTTCCTTTTCCGCTATATTCTGGACTATCTCAGGGACAAGCAGGTGGTTCTGCCTGACCACTTCCCAGAGAAGGGAAGGCTCAAGAGGGAGGCTGAGTATTTCCAGCTCCCGGACTTGGTCAAACTCTTGACTCCTGATGACATCAAGCAAAGCCCTGATGATTATTACCACAGTGACTACGAAGAGGTCTCCCAAAGCAGTGACACGAGAATCTGCCCACCCTCCTCGCTCCTACCATCTGATCGGAAGTGGGGATTCATTACCATTGGGTACCGGGGGTCGTGCACTATTGGCAGGGAGAGTCAAGCAGATGCCAAATTCAGGAGGGTCCCAAGGATTTTGGTTTGTGGAAGGATTGCTCTGGTCAAAGAGGTCTTTGGAGAAAGTTTGAATGAGAGCAGAGACCCAGATAGGGCTCCGGAAAGGTACACCTCCAGGTTTTATCTCAAGTTCAAGCACCTGGAGAGGGCTTTCGACATGCTGTCCGAATGTGGATTCCACATGGTGGCCTGTAACTCCTCTGTGACGGCTTCCTTTGTCAATCAGTACACAGACGACAAGGTCTGGTCCAGCTACACTGAATACGTCTTCTACCGTAAGTACAAGAAATTTCTCAGGGAAAAATAGTTACGTGTTCCCAGTCTGTCTCCTCTGCTGTCTGAATGATTCTCAAAGCACAAACAGCCCAGATTACCTTATATCTGTGCGGACTGGAGCCTTGTTTTGATCCAGGGGGTTATACTTTGGTTTAAGCTTTCAAATTGTAAACTTATGCTGAACTCAATGGCATGGTCTTGGCTAGGTGGCAGCACAGACTGCCAAAACACCCCATCCCTGAGCTGAAGGATGCCGCTGTCTTTGGCTGTGTAAATCGGCCATCTGACTGCCTTGCACGCTTCCTGAGTATGTGCTGGATGCAATGTAAGCCTTGCAAACACACTGCGGATTTAATTACAGAAAACCTTCAAATGAGATTCAATTTACAAAGGTAATGGCTGCTTGATAATAGTCAAGCACAGTCAGCCAAGCCATCTGTCAGCAAACCTGACACACTTCCACGCAGGGAAGGGAAAACAAAATCCCGTCCCCCGGCTGCTTTTCAACAGGGAGCATTCTCGGAGCCAGCCGATGTGCTCTGAAATGAAGGCTCAGTGCAGAGAGAGGCAAGTTGCTGTATCTTGTTATGCAACACGCCTATGAAAAACAAACTATCCTCATAATGTGAAGTATCTGCGCTGCTTACTGCAATCACATCAGATCACATACTGTTGTAGCAATTTTAGCTGATAGCTCTAGCAGGTTCATTAACTTTCTAAGTTGATATTCAGGTAGAGGCACTGTTACCAGTGGTAACACGAGGGTAATTTTAATTCTACAATTCTGTATCAGAAAATCATTCCACAACTGCTGTGCTTAAAGTGCTTAAATATTCAAGAGGTTTGTGAGGTTGTGTTCATCTGTTTTCATTTCAAAAGGGTGAAGGATGGAACATTTCCCAGGTCCATTTGTACAAATGGGCTTTAGCCAGCTGCTGCTTTGGACAGAGGGATTTAAAGAAGGATAATAACTGCTTTGCCTGCAGACCTGCTATGCTGTGTGCGATGGTTGCAGTTAGTATGCTCAGTAACGTGGAGAGCTGACACGAGTTTTAGATAAAAGATGTATCAGAAAATGAATAGTTTGTACGCCATCTACTTTTATGCTTAGGCTCAACAGGCAGACCTAATCTACTTATGTAATGATGCTTGAGTTAGCGTTCTGAAAAGCCATCTGTATTTTTGACATGCATAGGTTTACTTAAAATTAGTTTTCTAGCTGGACTTCTCAGCACAATAGTTCAAAGGTCTTGGATCCACAGCACAATAGTTCAAAAGTCTTGGATCCACTTATATTCACACTAAGGTGGATGATTCCTATAATTAGGCATCTTTGCAATTGTACACAAGGTATAGGGGGAGGGGAGAATTAATATATTTAAAGGAATGGACTGGAGCAAGTTGTATTTAAATTAAAATCAGAAAAAATATAAATTATTTATAGAAACAAGGGTTTAATAATTGAAGAGAGGCCCAAAATAGATGTTACATGCATGAATTAACAAGCACAGACTACTGATGTTCAAATGACTTCTTTACCATCAAGGATTGCTAGTTGCTTCCATATCATTTCAGTTAGGGTTAGATACTGAGATGAAAGGTACCTTTGAAATTTTGGAAAGAGAAAGTCTGTAGTAGGGGTCATGCAGTCTTCCTTCACCAATACAGAAAAAGCCCAATCCAATTAAAGTTCCTGGAAGGACTCTTGTCTCATTCAACAGGCTTTGAATTTGGCTTAAATCGATCTTGTGGATTTTTGACATTGATGGAGTGTCAAAGGGTCCTTCCTTAGGTAAAAACTAAACTAGTGACCGTGATGCCAGATCACTCTCCTTTATCCAGATCCAAATCTTACTGTTATGTTTTGTTCCATTTGCTCTTTGCTGTGACAGAGTCGTTGGGTTGCAGAGCTGCTACAGCTGCTTATCTGTAGCCTGGTTGCAGCCAGGCTTGATATAAGAGCAGGCACAAGACCTATCGAATTCACCAAGAGTGGAAGCAGCCCTTCTTATCAAAGCTCCAAAAGTCATTTCATTTTAAATTTTGAGGACCAGTAGAGTTGACACCTGGCTTTCTAGTGGAACATTACAACTTCTCCACAGCTGCTTAGCCATAATTTTTTGATTAGAAGCTGCTAACTGCACCTGTATAAGCATTAATTCATCAAGCTGTTGTGGTCAGGTTAATGGGCGTAGATATGAGAGGTGACTAACACAACTGGTTAGATATATGTAAAGGTGTTCTTTGTAGAGCAGCTTGGTATCTTCTGTGAAATGGATAGCTGAGGTGCTCTTCAGAGCTGGGAAAAGATAATTATTTTCAGAAAGAGGTAGGACAGAGGGAGGCAAATTTCACTGTTACACCAAATATATGGTATGCTCCAAATACTACCCAGAAACTAAATGCCTATTGTTGGCATGAAGATAAGGAATATTCGGCGTGTGCAATCCATTTGAAAGAAGATCGAATGGACTGAAGGGAATATAATCTGTGCAGCTACTCACATGGGTACAGTGTATGCTGTTAACAAAATAGTGTGATTAATACTGTATGGCATGTTCTCCCCTTGTTCAGATGGAGGTGCTATTAAGGCTAATGGGAGATTCGTGTTCTCTGTGGAGGAAATTTTCCCGAAATGCAGGGCTCGCAGAAAGCATCCAGTACATCCCGTACAACCTGCAGCTGTTCTGCTGAGGGGGTGGTGAGATGGGCTGCAAGGCAGGTACACAGCGTGACAGTGCAGTCCTCAGCGCAGCTGGGCTCTACTCCCGTTTCAGATAGGCCAATGCAAAGGAGAGTTTGGAGACAGTCTGTGTTGATACATTAGGGCCTTAATTAAATGGTTCTGTGAAATGCAATTTCTGTATAGGGAGTAGGTGGAGTCACAGCCTATGTTCCTGCTCACAGGTAGAGTGTGAGTTGAGGTTGTGCTCATCCATTTTCTTTATTCCCTCCAGTTTCTCTTACGTCAAGGAAGATTGCTTAGATTTTATATTGGCTAAGGCTGGCTTTCTGACTTCAATATTTCTGTTTTTTTCTCTTTCCTGTTTTGATGATCTTGAAGGAGAAGCTCATCTCCAAACATTTTCGTTTTTTGAAGAGGGTGATAGCCTGTGCTTGGATCATCATTTTAAAATATTTTCAATCTTTACAATGGGATGAATCAGCATCTGTTAAATGTTGGGCTGTTTAAAGCATAAGGGCTGGATCAGCCTTTTGTCGCCTGACCCCATTTCTGACTTCACAGTGGCGGATGCATCTCCTCCACCACCTTCTGTAAGTCCAAGCCAGCGCTTTACCTTGGCTCCAGCTTTGCAGCATTGCCAGTACTGTGGGCTACAGTCTCACCCATGGACGTTGTGAGTGCCAGAGCGAGTAGTACTAAACAACAGGCTGGGAACAGAGAAGGCTTCCAAAAGTAGGTCAGCCACACCTGCTGTGTGCATGCGTCTCTTCAGAGTAGCTAGAAATTCAGGTGCAGAGGCACAGCAAAGTGGGATGGGATGCAGAAAAACAGCATCTCAACCCCTGTCTACATATTGCTATTGCCACAGAGAGCCCTGGTGTCACATTCCTCCTCTCTGCTTGTCCGTGGCTGATAGTGTAATTGGCTCTCAAAACAGTTCCTAGTACAGTGGGGAGAAAATCTTGACTGTAATGTATTGTGTCAAACCCCCTTCCTTTACTCTCATGGCTCCCTGCACAGCTGTGGGTAGCACCAATACGTAGTGCAGGCAGCTTGCACCACAAGAGCAGGTTGCCCTCTGCTCAACTGGAGCAATGAAAACTAGGGGGGAGAAGAGAGCTACTGTGCAGAAAGGAACAAATATGTAAAAAGTACAGATGGAGGAAAGTTACACATGCCTTGGTGAGAAAGAGCTGGGAAAAAGGCGGAGGGAAAGACTGACAACCACACTAAGGCGCAGTGGGGGAGAATTTGTTAGGTATGTCAAGCGTTCGATTTATCCCAAATATTTTCCCACAACAACCGGGTTGAGAGGGGTTGACAAAGCACCTTCAAGTTCACTAACAGAAAAGAATACAGAGATTTGGACAGGCAGCTGTCCCTACAACTGTCCCTACTGGTCCTAAAGTCATGTTTCAAAGTTTGGGCAAGTGTAGGAAAATCAGGTGAATTTCCTTAAGCTTTGCCATGTGCCAGCCACTTCGTAGCTGCACGCTTGGAGCTGCTCAAGCGCCTAAAGTTCAGAGGAAACTTTGAGGCAGTCCTGGCACTGTATGTCTGTAAGCCGAAAATTAAGTGACCAGCTTCTTGCTCCTGACGGACGTGCTCTGCCTCCACTCACTGTAGTGACGGCTGTAAATTCTGGCCATGTTCTCACCTTACTCTTTCAAGAAAATGCTGGTTGACTGTGGTTTTCACTTGCTGGTAGGAGCCTGATCTGCCGAGGTGGTTGAGAAGTAGACTTCAGATTATCCTGGGGAAAACAGAGTGGGGCTATGCAGGAGAAAAGATAAATCCCAAATGATGCCTTCTACGAATGCACGCTTGATGGCCTTTCATGGGAAATGCATATCTGGGATCATCCCTGTGTCTCTCATACAGCATGTTCTACCTGAGATCACTGTAACCTGCTGAAGCCTGACACTTCGTACTTGTGAACAGAGCTAAAAGATCCCATACTAATGTACATAGCGCTGACTCATAAGTGAATTGTATGGTAGAAGTTTGACTAGGAAAATGGAATGTTCTTGCTCGGTGACACCTACAGCTGTGCTGTCAAACGAGTTAGATGATACAGAAGATAAATTTTACCTATTTTTTTCTCCCTTTATACTGATACTGTTGTATTTTCTAATAGTTTCTCCTGTCTGATTTTAAATCAGTGAAGATCAGAATGACCCAAAAGATTAAAAAAAAATCAAATCCAAAGAATAATACAGTATTCGGTTCCTGTTGACGCGAGATGTTCTTGTTTACAGCGAGTTTTTGCCATCACCAATGAATCTGGTCCATCATGCTGAATAAAAATCTCCC